TTTTTTGCTTCCCTTGCTGACACATCTGTGGAGACTTAACTAGCAATTATTAGTGTGATTTGTAGCTTTATGTACCTTGTTTTTTGTGCTTTAACTGTTAAACAAAGCAGAAGCTTATGAGTTGAACACAAGGGAGAAATCTTTCATTGAAAGCACTCAAACTATGTAAACTTCCAGTGGCCTAGTTTTGAAGCACTTCCTCTGAGCACTCATGGAAATCTCTAGATGTTAACACACTGACCTCATTCCTGCAGTTTAAAGCCCTTAAGTCCCCATTCTACTACCAGATGGGATTTGAAGAGCCTCATTACTACAATGTCTTAGGCTTTGAGGACCTCGGAGATGATCATGGCACTCTATTATTCAGTCCCCTAAATAAACAGTCATAGGAGTGCTACATGTTGGTCTTTCATAATCCTTCATTCATGCTGTAAACAGTCATTTGGGAGATGAAGTTGAGGTGGCTGCTGAAGGACAGTGAACTCCTTAGAGCAGCTCTGAAGGGGAACATGGATGTTCTAGAACTGAAGCAACCCTGTTCCTAAGTGGTTGCTTAGGGTAGGCAAAATGTCTGAGGATTAGTTTTGCACCCTTGCAGCCCCCCAGGCTCTGGGGCCATCTGAGAAGAAATACTTGCCCTGGCCTAAACAGAGTTAAGTCATGGTGTGTCTCTGATCTGTACCTTGCTGGTCTTGAGCTGCTGGTGGTCTTAGCCATGACTTTTACCTCAGCTGTACCTTGTGTTACCTCCCTTACAGCTGCTCCAGAGCTTTAATTAGGCATTTTGGTTTTGATTTGAGAATATTAAGGCTTCATCCAGACTGTAGTGCAGTCACATCCTGGTGCTGTAACAGGAGTTTGTGCTCAGCAAGGTGCTGCTGTTCTCCTTGGCCTTAATGGACCCTAGCTGTCAGCCCAAGAGCCGTTTATTTAGTTGGTTTTCCCCCAAGTATACTTAGTCGGTGGATGACAATGCTCTAGTATAAATGAACACACTCTTTTCTGCTTCATTCCTATTTGAGGAATGAATAAATGAGGGAGGAGATACTAAAATAAGTGTTATAGTATAGGGACTTGCATGAGTTTTAGTCACCTATAAAGTGCTGACCCCTGACTCTCTAGCTTGGCACAGTCAGGCAGAGATCTTTCCAGGGAAACCTTTTAACCTCTAAGTTTTTAATTCCTTTTTTCCCTTCCCTCTCTTCCAGCAGAGGACTTGGAAAATACAAGATATGTAGCATAGCGTGGGTACCCCAGGGACCTCTCATTCTTCTTAACTTCATGTTGTTGCAGTCTTGTCAGCTAAGGTTAATTCCTCATATCACACACACACACAAAAAATAATCACTCTGTAAAAGAATATAAATTTTGCTATAGGAGACAGTAGAAGCTCTAATAGCTTCTACTCCATAGATCCTAGCACAAAGGGTCCTCAAATTCCTACAGAGTCATGCTCTGCTTTCAAAAATCTCTTGGAAGTATTACTCCAATGCAGCTGCTGCAGGATGTGCAGCTGTCTGAGCCAGCTTTTAAGCCAGTTGGGTGCATTTTGCTAACAGATAAGCAGCGTGTGACATGGTAGGAGTTGGGATAGGCAGCTGCTGGAGTGTGGTTGGCCTGTGCCAAACACTGCATCGCCCCAGGCAGCTGGCTGCAGCACTACTAACAAACTGCAATTCTGCCAGCTACAAGGAAAACTTAGCTTGAAGCCTGAGTAGACAGAAACACTGCTAGGGGTGGCTGAGCAAGAAGTGCGTGGGAGTGACCTACCCATGGAATGGCCCTTGCTGGGTGTGTGGTACACCTGGAAAAGTGGTGACAATCACTTTTACCATCTGCCTCTTGGATTTCACAAATGCTACTGGGCATCTTCCTCCTCCTCCTCCCCACCTCCTTTGGAAATCCAGAAATGTGTATTTCTGGTGGGTGGAGGGGTTGAATGTGGCTATTGGGCAGACTCCATCATAACTATTCAAGAGATAGGCCCCTCTCTGGATAGCATAGGACATTCCAGGTGACAACTGTCACCTTTTAGAAAAATAAAAGCTCACGGTAACTGTGAGAGACAGTAACTGCAAGATAAGTGTGTTTTGGGTGCAGTTCAGTGTTGTTTGCACTGTTTGTTTTCTATAAGAGGGAAGAAAAAGGCAATGCCAGCTTCTCTGAAGCTGGGTGGCTGGAACATGCGGAGTCTGAGTGACACAAGTGTGAGTTTGCATGCATGCAAGGGTGCAGAAGGCAAAATGCAGCAACTCCTTATAGACAGTGTAAATCTACTTTTTTAAAAAGAACAACTGAGTTTAAGCTGGGATCCCTCAGCAAGAGCACTGTAGAGAGTTATGGATGCTCTTCTCTTTCTTGATGTCAAAATAAAATAATATTCAGAAATGATGGCAGGGATCTGCTTGGCTCTAGCTCAGATAGCTCTCTAGCTGTGGTGACAGCTGATGTTGCTCTGGCAAGGCTACTGAGAAAAGAACTGAAAGCAAGTTTGCTTTTATGAAAACAGAGTTCTGGTTCAGAATTTAAGCATCTGGCCATGTAGAACATGAGGAAACTCAGATGTTAGGAAACGACATCTGGGAAGCCAAAGGTGAAGAGATTATACTTCAAATGCACTTAGTTGAGAAATACATTTCGACTCTACAGCTAACTATGATTAAACTGAAGAGGGAAAAAAAATCAAGCAAATAGCAGTCTCCTCAATCTCACTGCACCTAGTTTTTCCAGCAGCCTTGCAAGGAAATTGAAAGTTAAATAAAATAATACAGAGAACTGCACCATAATGTATGCACAAGGAAGCATGAGAGGAAAATACCTGCATGCAAAACTAAATTGTAGAAATAATTTAAAAAATTGAACAACTGCCTGTTCTCTACATGAATAATTTGCCTGTTTTCTCCATCATCCCCACTCTTCATTAAAGTTGCACTCTCCAAATACACCAAGCAAAAGCTAAATTACACCAGTCCCCAGCAGTCTTTTATAGAACAAAAGTCAGTTTGGAGTGAAACTTGAGTAAACTGTAAAACTAAAAACCAAAACTAAAATACTTGTAAGGAATCCTTGCAAATGACACTGAGTCCTGTGGTTTCACACAGGCGCTTTCTTTTGGGACGCTATGGGTGCTGTTATTGTTTCACTGCCTCAATGCCTGCTGCCTGGTTGTGTTGAATAATTCTGCTTTCGGGGCAAATTACTGTATGAATCCTGTAGTCAGGTTTTGGTTTTTAGCTCTTGATGCCTCTGTAGATCTGTGCAAATGGCACTTTATTCCTCTTGAAGTCTCGCTTAGGTGTTGTCCTTTCTGCTAAAAGAGCAAGTCCCTCACTCGCTCAAAGGGCATCGTTGAGACACCTTAACTTCTGCAAAGAGTAAACGGTCTGGAGGATGTGGTAAAGCAAATCATATACAGGCAACGTTTGCTGGAGTTCATGCACAAAGCTTAGCAGGGCAGGAGACCGACAACATGGGTTCAAGGGCTTCCCTCTCATGGGTTCAAGGGTTTCCCTCTCACACACACCTGCAAGGAGGTGGACACTTGGAAACAGTGGCTGAACTGAGGTGGTATCCATTGCCAAACAGATATGTTGTAACTAGAAAAGCTGTGGTGAGTTGAGCTTTTGTACTGTGTATAAGGGGATTTTTTTTCCTGTGGTTGCTTTTAAAAGCAAAACCAAACAGTGGTAACCCACAGATGGTGGATTAAAAAAATAGTATGGCTTTAAGACAGCTGGCTCTGGCATGTTAGGAAATCTTAACTGAACTTAGAGTGCGGTCACATCCCGTGTAAGAAGTCACATAATTTAACATGCATGAAGTCAAAGCAAGTATTCCATGTCTGGGAACTGTCTAGCTTGGATTCCTTGAGCTCTAGCTATGTGTTTATTGTTCTTAAGCTGCTGTGCTGGGGAGGCAGACTTGTTCTGAGCAATTTGCATTCCTAGGGGCTGATAGGCAAATGGAGACTTGAATATATTTAAGGACTTCTAGATATTCTAGACTAGATTATATTTTCTCTAATTTGGGATTTTTGTTTCTTAATTTTCTTTACCCTTTCTTATTCAGCAGACATCTTGAAAAAGATAATGACTAAGGGCTACACACTCTCTTCCTTCTGTCTTATTGGGCAGAAGGAAGAAGAAACTGTCCTAGTACCAGCAGTTTATTGTTACAGATGACTTCAGCAATTAGCATAGGGATGGGCTGGTAGAAAAGTCTGGTGGCTGGAATCAGTTTAGAAAAGAAGACGTACAGAGAGAGCAATCAAATGTGGAATTGGCTACAGCCATAAAATGGAGACTTCTAGTCATGCTGAAGGTGGCTATAGCTTTATTTGTTCAGTACTCCAGGTGAGCAGGAAGGAAAAGGAAAAATTAAAAATACCTAAACAAAACCAAAACTTCCACCATCAAAACCAGCTTCTAATTTCTCCTCCTAGCAACACACACAGTGGAAAACTCAAGCCAGTGGGAGTTCTGGTATGCCTCTGCTAACCACCATAGGCGGTATGGATGCCTCGGGCTAGGGCTGAGCACCCGAGTGTGCCCACGCAGCCTGATCTGAGCTCCTCTCCCAGGCCAACAGAAGCAGAGCCCTGTGAACATGATGAGGAGCTGCAATTAGTAACTCCCCCATCAACACGGGGAATTCACGCCAGTGCAACACTACGTGGAGGCAGTGGCGCTTTTCCAGACCCTGTTAGCACAGGCACCTCTGCACCACACCTTGTCTTGTGGTTAAGATGCGCCTGAAGGTGCCGAGGTGCCAGTTTAAAGACAAATGAGTAGATGTGAACTGAAATCAATGACAGGAAGCCTCCGAGGCTCAGGCCGCTCTGAAAAATCTGACTGTAGGTACATCTGCAATGGTATATACATCCCCACATGCCTCTGAAAATGGTCAGTGTTCAGAATACCTGTGCGTATGTATATTTAATGGACTATAGCAGAAAAGTATCTCATTGTTCAGAGGCTTTTCCCTCTCCTCCTTTCTCTTACCTGTTGAAACAAAGCTCTGGCCATTGACATGTGTCTGCAGTGTCTTGCCACCTGGACTGGACTGCCACCTTCTGTGTATGTTTAGGAATGTTCAGCTTCCACAGGGATGGCTGGCTCTAGATTCCTTGTCCTGAGTGGGAGGGAAGGCTGTAACACAGATTGGAAAAGGAATGTAACTGGGGGTGTGGAAGACAGAAACCAGCTCAACTTTTTCAAAGGATTCTTAAATACTAACCGTAAAAGCGTAGAATGAGTTGGAAGGGGCCTTAAAGATCATCTAGTTCCAACTCCCATGCCATGGGCAGGGACACCTCCCGCTAGACCAGGTTGCCTAAAGCTCATCCAACTTGACCCTGAATACTTCCAGGGATGGGGTATCCACAACTTCCCTGGGCAACCAGTTGTAGTGTCTCACCACCCTCACAGTAAAGGAAGTCTTCCTAATGTCTCCTCTAACTCTACTCTCAGTTTAAAATCATTGCTCCTTGTCCTGTCACAACAGACCTTTACTGAAAAGTTGTTCCTCATTTTTCTTATAAGCCCCCTTTAGGTACTGGGAAGCCACTATAAGGCCTCCCTGAAGCCTTCTCTTCTCCAGGCTGAACAGCCCAACCTTCTCAACCTTTCTTCAGAAGAGAGGTGTTCTAGCCCAGTGACCATTTTTGTGGACCTGCTTCAACAAGTCAATGTCTGTCTTGTGCTAGCACTAAGCTGTAAATGCTACCCACAATGATAACGTAGGAAAAAGCCAACAAGCCCCCAAAAGAGTTGACTGTGCTATTGTGTGTAGTTTTTTCTTTGGCTTCTCTGGTAGACAAAGTGTCAAGAAGTGGTGACTTACATGAAAAGATCAGTCTCTTGAATGTAGTATACATCAATGCAATACTATTTTAGGAATTTCACAACTGAAGATTGGAGACTATTTTGTAGTATTCATCTTGGTAAATATTTTGTTGCCCTGGTGTGCATTACAAGAAGAGGGCTTAGAGTTGAAAACTTTCTACTGCTTTTTCTCCCTTTCTAGAAAATAACTTCCTGATTTCTCTAGAAGGAGAAAATCTGTTCTGATCTTGACCTTAAGGTTACTTACATTTGTATTATAAAGTTAAACTCAAAACAATAGCAAGCTGTTTGATTTCATGAGAACTGAAATCTATAGCTGTGCGGTTTCACTGCTCAATCTGTTTTAGTCTACTGGAAAAATACTTGTCAATTTTGTTTTCAAAGAGGCAAACTTGTCTGGTATGAGCTGGCTCTGGAGGAGCCTGAATTCTAAGTTTGCACAGAGGTACAAGAAATTTGACTTCATGACATCAGTTGCTTTGTACTTTTCCGAGGTGACTCTCTTTTACCCCCATTCTCCCTGCATTACCTTGGTAAGTACAGATTCTTCTTCTGAAGAGAAAAGCTATCAAAAATAAAAATAGATTTTAAAATGGAATATTTTTTTAAAATACCCTGCTGTATGGACTGGTATGTACCTCTGTAGTTGTGTGGTTTTTTTCTTATTTAATCTAATATAGAACTTTCATCAAAACTCAAAGGCAACAAGTTCATCTGAAATCTGTTTGTACAACAGTATCTTGTTATCCTCTTTTTCAAAATCCACAAACAATTGTCACAGAAACCGCGGTGACTCAGCTCTTGGGCAAATCCTCCTAATTGGTTACTTGCCCTTTTACTTGTCTTTTCTCTCTTGCACCACTTGATTTCTTCGCTAGCTGCAAACTGAGACCTCAAGTCTTGTGCAGCGCTGACTTTGTGGTTGTGTGCTTGCTGCTCAGTATAATGGGACTCCTTACCTTCCTCGCGCTGGGGCTTGTAGCTGCTGTTACACGTTGTCAGTTTGTAAACAGTGACCATTCAGAACCTGCAGCTACACAGGGTTTCGGTTTTGGTGTGACTAGTATGCGGCATGTCTTGTCCGAGCTTTTTCTTTTGCTCAGCTGCCGTTTGGAGGCAGTAAGTGGGATTATTTTCAGCCCAGTGTTCATTCTCTGAACTTCCCTAAACTGAAACTGCCCGTCTGTCGGTGTGTCAGTTTAATGACTAAAGAAAAGCAAAAAAGAGGAAGAGCAGAAATAAAGGCAAAACTGTATCCAGTGCGTAAATTAGTTGGAGATGCCTTCTAGGTTGTCAGGTGAAAGCTGACTTTTTTTTTTGCCGGCAGCCTTAGCCTCACTTCTCATTTTGCAGCCTAAGCATACCCCAGCTGGCAGCCAGCAAAGAGGAGTGGAGTTCACAGCCAAAATGTTTTAACTGGAAAACCCCTCAGTCTGTATTTTTCCTCTCCAGCAAGCTGCCACTTACAACAACAAAAAAATAAAAACTGAAACAAACCCAGATTGTTTCTTTTCCATTTTTCTCACGTCCACATCAGCTGAAGCAATTCTAAAAGACCTTAGCAAAAAAGCTGTAGCCCAGATACTGCAGTTTTAACTCTTTCTAGGGCACAAGACAGAAAACTTGATCTCTTACTTACCAGTGTGGGATCTCTCGGTATCCTGCCTGAATGTGCTGAGATTGAAATGTGCTGCTGCAAGGAGCTTCTGCCTTGAATGAGGAAGTGCTGAAGCGGGGCAGGATGTGGAGCAATGACTCAGATATCAAAGGCTGGGTTTCTTGATTAGCTGGAGAATAAAAGGAATTATTGACAGTGCTCACTGTAGTGTGCTCAGCTGACGTAAGGACTTGCTAGCTGCTACTTTACCAATAGTAAAAGCTTGGATGTTTCACTGTTTTTTCATCCTTTCATGAGCTTTAGATACTTAGAATAATGCAATATTCTGGTATTGCAGTGCTTTTGAGGAGGACTTTCTATCTTTTGTCTAATAAAACATATGTCCCTGTCAAGAAGCATTTCTTTGCATGAATATGCCACTTGAAGATGTTCAGAGTAAGGATTTGCCTAATGCTTCTAAAACAACTCTTGCCTCTTAGCTCAACCAGGGACTTCAAACTTTGCTTGGTTCTTTCCTTTAGGAAAATATAATAATTAAAAAACAAAACCAAAAACAAACAATCAAAACCACCAAAACAAACCCCAACATATCTGCTCTGAAATTAGTTTTAACTTACATTCATATATTTAGTGTTCTATTCACCTGAACACAGAGGCTACTGCTTGCAGTTTCTAAGCATAACTTTCCAAAATCAGCATTATCAACAGAGCTCTGTCTCTTGTTTGCTCTGCAATCAAGCACTGCTGTTTCAGTGGCTCTCTGGTTTTGATGTGTGGGAACTGAGCAATGTTTACCTCTTATGTTTTCAGCCAACCATGGTGGAAGCTTTTCTTTTTCTCCTTGCTTGCATCTTGCTGAGATGTCGTCTTGGGTGTGGGTGCCTGGCATGCTCTGCTATGTCACTTCATAAAGGAATTTAAGCTTTCTTTCTATGGGTATTTGCTAGCATGGCCATTGCTTCACTGAAGTTTTGTTGCACATAATTGAATAATTGTGTAGCTCAGCAATTTCACATCAGAAATGGAAAAGTATATTAAGTGGATTCTGTTCAACTCTTGTCTTTAAGCTACCAGTTTGAGTAGTCTTTCTTGTGTTGAATTGAATCCTTCTGGTATCTCCCTTTATTTTAAGAAGTGTGTTTGTATGTACACACCTATGATGTACTGTTAGTGTTGAACTTTTCATTCTATAAACATGCTGTAAAAGGGATAACGATTGTTTCAAAGTAATTAGGATTCCAAACACTGTTGTCATTCATCTCAACCTCTCCTCCGCTTGGGTTAAGCAGAGAGATAGCTATTTAATCATGCTAGATGAAGTTAAATATTGGTATTTAACACTTGTGTACAAAAATTGCTTAGAGTAAGTCTGAATTTTTTAGAATTAAGCCAGAAGTTGATTTCCTAGAGTTTCTTTAATTATTTGTTTCATTATGCTAGAAAACAAACACCACCACCACCCCCGTCTTAATGGTTTGAGAAGTAACACTTGACAAATTAGTCAGCTTCATGGGAGTATTTCAGCAATATACAGCTGCTCACTCAAACGATGCAGTAATGCAATTGCTCAGTCTCTCCTGTGACGGTGATGATCCTGAGTGTTTTCTGAGGCACTTCACTTCTGCAAAGCTTTGAATGCCTGATGCAATTCACATTAGGTGGGTGCTAAGGCAGCACTGAAGAAAACAATTCTGAGTTCAGAGAAGTTATTCTCTGTCTAGCACTGAAGCACAAAAGTGGAAGGTTTTCAAGAGTGAAATTCCTGATGAAGTACAAAAACCACCTATGGCTGCATTAATGTAATGAGAAAAATGTATTGGGTTTTTTTCCCCATGCTCTTCTGAAAACTCCTTTCTTGATAGGATGCTGCTGAGAAGGGAATGATCATCTCCCTCCATCTGCTGGGGTTAGTTTGCCTAATGAAGCCCAGGACAGAATTAGTTGTCTTTGCCCCAAGGGCACATTTCTGGCTTATATTCAAATTGTTGCACACCAGAGCACCCCCAGGGTCCTTTCCACAAAGCTGCTTCCAAGCTGTGTGACCCCCGGCATGTATTGGTGTGTGGGGCTGTTCCTCCCCAGCTGCAGGACTTTGTGCTTCCCCTTGTTGAACTTCATGAGGTTCCTGGTAGCCCACTTTTCCATCCTGTTGAAGTCCATCTGGATGGCAGCACAACCCTCTGGCTTATCAGCCACTCCTCCCAGTTTTGCATCATCAGCAGACTTGCTGAGGGTACACTCTGTCCCATCATCCAGATCATTATTGAAGGTCCTGAACAGAACAGGACCCAGTATTGACCCCCACTACTAGTTATTGGTCTCTAACTAAATTGTGTTACTGATGACCACACTCTGGGCTAGGCCGTTCAGCCAGATTGCAATCCACCTCGCTGTCTGCTCATCCAGCCCGTACTTCATCAGCTTGTCTATGAGGACTGTATGGGGGACAGTGTCAAAAGTCTATGTAGACAATATCCACTGCTCTCCCTTTGCCTACCATGCCAGTCATTTCATCACAGAAGTTTATCAAGTTGGTGAATCCATGCTGATTATTCCTGATGACTTTCCTGTCCTTCGTGTGCCTGGAAATGGTTTCCAGGTTTAGTTGCTCTATACCTTTCCCAGTTATCCAGATGAGGCTGAGTGGCCTGTAGTTGGATCCTCTGGATCCTCTTTCTTGCTTTTCTTGAAGGTAGGAGTGGCATTTACTCTCCTTCAGTCCTCTGGCACTTCTCACAGTTGCCATGATCATTCTGAGAGTGGCCTCGCAATGACATCTGCCAGCTCCCTCTGCACTCATGGGTGCATCCTGCCAAGGCTCTTAGACTTATGTTTGTTCAGTTTGCTTAAGTACTGTCTCACCTGATTCTCTTCCATTAAGAGTATATCTTCCTTGCTCCAGACTTTCCCCCATCTCTGGAACTTGGGATTCTTGAAGGCTGGTCTTGCTATTAGAGAAAGGTAAAGAAGGCATTCAGTGTGTCAGCCTCTTCCGTGTCCTGTGTAACCAGGTCACCCATCTCCTTCAGCAGCGGGACCACATTTTCCCTAGTCTTCCCTTCCTTTTGTCTCCTATGTACATATAGAAGTCTTTCTTGTTGTCTTTGACATTCCTGACTGGATCCAATTCCAAGTGGACTGTGACTTTCTTAGTCATGTTTCTGTGTGCTCAGACGCAGACGGTGTCTCTTTATTCTTTCTAGATTACCCACCCTTGCTTCCACCCTCTATATGGTTCTTTTTTGTGTCTGAGTTTTGCCAGGAGCTCTTTGTTCATCCATACAGGCTTCTTGGCTTTTTGTTTTTCTTCTTACATTGGTTAGTGTGGACTGAACACAGAACATAAATATGTTGAGACAAGCTACCAAGCTGACATCAAATCCTTGGGCTGGTTCATGTACTGCAGGCCATTGCCTAATGCCTTGCTGGTTTTCAGTCCCTGGGGTTGCTCACTTCAGTGTTTGGAGGCATTCAAATAATCAGTAGTTTTTTCATGCTGCTTTTAGGCTGTATAAATGTGCTTTCTTTTCTTTCTTCTTCTCTCTCCCCTCCCCTCCCACCAATGCTGTATCATGCATATTTGCTCAAAGGCTTCCAAAAGAAGCAAAATGCGGTCATCTTTTCCATGGAATACAGCAGTCCACTTCAGCCAACTTCCTAGCTTTGTTACAAAACACAGTTCCCTAGATGTCTGCTAATTCAAACATTACGAATTGAATGCTTTCCAAATTCAAAGCCAGACTGTTTTAACTACATAAAGGTGAATGGATGGAAGAAGAGAGGGTTTATATACTTTAACCCCCAGTATCTGGGATATAAACTTGGATTCAACTAAGTACTGCCATAGACTGGATAAGGGACCTGTGTAATTTCCTTTGGTGCTATGTTAGCATGTTGTAACATTGTGGTGTTCCTTTCGTAGTTGTATTTCTTCCTCTGCTTGCACTTGTAATCAGAATGGCTTCTGACCCAGCTAGCAGACCACTCCAAAAAGTAAGTCACGCAAATCATTAAAACTGTATGACATTACTTGGTGTTATCAATAAATGGGAGTTTTTTCTCTTCCCCTGCATTTCCCTTCTGTTATCAGATGAACCAGATAATCCAAACAGCCTTGATCAGGGTCACTTCAGAAGGAAAGTGCAAATTCCACTTCATTTGTTTTTCTGAGCAGAAGACAGTGAGGTGTTTTTTTTTTTTTTTTTTTTTAAGGCAGTATAGACCAGCAGTAGCTGTAGCTTGCCATGCTCATCTTCATTTTGCTAAACCTCAGGCTGGTGAGCACTTGAGATCTGTGTACTTTAGTTGCCATTTGGGATTTGGCTGTAGACTAAGACTTTCCAGTCTGTGAGAAGCATTCCAGGTTGTGACTGGTTTTGCTTGTTTCCGCTCATTTGAGGTAACATGGTCCATTCATATTACGTGGCTACGACTATTATCCCAGAATAAGAGCAGACACAGAGATATGAAGAAATAATGAGTGCTCATGCTGGCTTTCAAAGCATTTGAGCAACAGCTTTCATCCTTTCATGGCGCAACTAGAGTAGCAAAAATTGAAGAAGTATGTTCATTTGCAAAAGAAGAGGGAACAGTCAGTAATGTTGCTGTCCAAGATGAGAAATGTTTTTTTTAAATTCTGGCAATAGGAGATATTTGGCAAGAAATATGCATACATGGCTGAGGCCTAATGACCTGAATGTGCAAGCAGAAATGGGAACAAAAATGTAGCTTGACTGTGAGAAAGGAATGAGAGCAAAGCTGATCTTTTGCTACTTCTGTCACTTGTCTCTTAAGTGACAAATATTCCAGGCTGGTCTACTAGCTGCTTGTTCCTCTCTGAAGTCGCTTTTACCCCCTTTTACCCTGAATTAGGTGGCTGCCTGAGTGCTCAGGATCTCAGGCACTCAGGAGGGGGGAGTCGTGCTTTTTCATACCTTTTGAACACTGACAGGCTTTTGGGCCATTACCCACCTCTCCAGGGAGCTCGTTCCAGTGTTTGACCACCCCCTTTGGTAATGAAATGTTTCCTTGTGTTAAGTCTGAACCTCCCCTAGAATTGGAATATCTCAAGTCACAAGGGACCCATAAGGGTTGAGTCAAAACTCCCTGCTCCTTGCAGGACTACCTAAAAGTAAACCATGTGATTAAGAGTGTTGCCCAGATGCTCTTCCTCCTCTGATAGGCAGGGTGCCCTGACAACTTCCCTGGGGAGCCTGTTGACCGGGGCAGCTTTAAGCCATTTCCACGTGTCCTGTCACAGGATACCAGGGAGGAGTTCAGGCCCTCCTGCTCCACTTCCCCTCCTTGAGAAGATGTAGGGAGTGACCCTTCAGCCTCCTTTTCTTCAAACTAGACAAAATGGCGTGGGCTGGCCTGCCTGGTTAGCTGAACATGGCAGGGGCTGAGGAGGTTGGACAAGAACCCCCCCTTTTGCTGCGGCAAGGGGACCCTGGTTGGTGCTTGGCAGATCGTCGTGGGGAACAAACAGTCATCATGGGCTTAACTTGCCCCCCAGTTGTATATTTGCTGTCTCAGCTGTCCTGATGCTGCTCCATCTCTCCAGCTTTCTGAGCAGTTCAGTGAAAAAGCACTTTGTTGCATTATCTCTCTACACTGCCAGAGTGACTGGACTCTGGCACATCTCAAAGGGTACAAGTCTTTTATATTTATTTCTCAGCCACTTTGTTATCTTCTTTCCTCCGTTACAGCCACAGGTCTACTGTCCTACCCTGTAGGACTCACAGGGCTTACAAGCCTGCTTGGGGTGGAAAGCTGAACTGGTGGTGGGGGGTCTGGTCTTGTGCATGGGCCCTGTTTGGCAATGGCAGGGAGAGGGCTCTGCTTTGTCTAGAAATGCATGGGGAGCACACCTACCTTCTGACAGCTATTTCACATTCCAACCAGTTTATTTGCAACTATAATAAGATATTTGGGGATGTGACTGGGTTTCTCTCTGTCCCTGAGAACTGTATAAGCCAAGCACTGAATGCCCATCTTGTGCTCTCCATCAGATGTATGTACTTTGGAGGCTCAGTGTAGTCACAGTAATGTCATCTGCAATCCTCCAGAGATGCAACTGGTCAGCCTGTTGCTAAATATAGGCTTGGTTCTTTCGTTTAGACACAGCAGGGAAACCATGGAATCCAAGAGCAAAAACCCTACAATTTGGTGTATGCAACACTAAGTATGCTGTGTGGTATCCTGTGTGAGTTTTGTTAAGCCTAATACATGTATTTCTGAACACAAGCAATGAAATTGTTGTACCCTAGAACGCAACCCTCCATGAGTGACGCTCTTCCTCTAGACCTCATTTTTGAGGTGCTAAAATGCATGTGTTTGGTTTGCCACTCTGTACTATGGAAGAGGAGCTGCCTGGATCACTCATGCAATTTATATTTTAGGCTGATTTCCAGAAAGACTGACAGCTCTGCTTTCTTCTAAATCTGTGGTGTGCCCTGCCTGATGATCTAAGTCTGCATGCCAGCCTTCAGACCTGTCTGCTATCTGAGTCTTACACAACTGCCAACAGCCACAGCAGCTTGGATGCCCCCAGCCTTGTTTACCTTGTGCGAGGCCAAGGCTAAATGAATCATCATGCTTTTCTTAGGGAATGCAATTTTTTTTTTTCCCCTTTCAGGACAGCTTGGTTCACACCGTTCTGAAGGAGAGATGGCTTCCACGGTTGACTGAACTGTGTGTTGAGACAAAATGTCATGGTTAGATCCTCACCCGGTGAAGCTCCTGCTCTTGCAGTGGCTGTGCCCATGGTGGGAGCGTGGTGGGTGCTCCAGTCCCAGGGGCAAAGGAGCTCCTGTTTCCGGTCTTGATGAAATTTGAGCTTTGCTGAATATAGTTCTGCAGCTCCAGTCACTCTTGCTCGGGTTGTTTGGTCAGGAAGGAAAAGGAAAAATTAAAAATACCTAAACAAAACCAAAACTTCCACCATCAAAACCAGCTTCTAATTTCTCCTCCTAGCAACACACACAGTGGAAAACTCAAGCCAGTGGGAGTTCTGGTATGCCTCTGCTAACCACCATAGGCGGTATGGATGCCTCGGGCTAGGGCTGAGCACCCGAGTGTGCCCACGCAGCCTGATCTGAGCTCCTCTCCCAGGCCAACAGAAGCAGAGCCCTGTGAACATGATGAGGAGCTGCAATTAGTAACTCCCCCATCAACACGGGGAATTCACGCCAGTGCAACACTACGTGGAGGCAGTGGCGCTTTTCCAGACCCTGTTAGCACAGGCACCTCTGCACCACACCTTGTCTTGTGGTTAAGATGCGCCTGAAGGTGCCGAGGTGCCAGTTTAAAGACAAATGAGTAGATGTGAACTGAAATCAATGACAGGAAGCCTCCGAGGCTCAGGCCGCTCTGAAAAATCTGACTGTAGGTACATCTGCAATGGTATATACATCCCCACATGCCTCTGAAAATGGTCAGTGTTCAGAATACCTGTGCGTATGTATATTTAATGGACTATAGCAGAAAAGTATCTCATTGTTCAGAGGTTTTTCCCTCTCCTCCTTTCTCTTACCTGTTGAAACAAAGCTCTGGCCATTGACATGTGTCTGCAGTGTCTTGCCACCTGGACTGGACTGCCACCTTCTGTGTATGTTTAGGAATGTTCAGCTTCCACAGGGATGGCTGGCTCTAGATTCCTTGTCCTGAGTGGGAGGGAAGGCTGTAACACAGATTGGAAAAGGAATGTAACTGGGGGTGTGGAAGACAGAAACCAGCTCAACTTTTTCAAAGGATTCTTAAATACTAACCGTAAAAGCGTAGAATGAGTTGGAAGGGGCCTTAAAGATCATCTAGTTCCAACTCCCATGCCATGGGCAGGGACACCTCCCGCTAGACCAGGTTGCCTAAAGCTCATCCAACTTGACCCTGAATACTTCCAGGGATGGGGTATCCACAACTTCCCTGGGCAACCAGTTGTAGTGTCTCACCACCCTCACAGTAAAGGAAGTCTTCCTAATGTCTCCTCTAACTCTACTCTCAGTTTAAAATCATTGCTCCTTGTCCTGTCACAACAGACCTTTACTGAAAAGTTGTTCCTCATTTTTCTTATAAGCCCCCTTTAGGTACTGGGAAGCCACTATAAGGCCTCCCTGAAGCCTTCTCTTCTCCAGGCTGAACAGCCCAACCTTCTCAACCTTTCTTCAGAAGAGAGGTGTTCTAGCCCAGTGACCATTTTTGTGGACCTGCTTCAACAAGTCAATGTCTGTCTTGTGCTAGCACTAAGCTGTAAATGCTACCCACAATGATAACGTAGGAAAAAGCCAACAAGCCCCCAAAAGAGTTGACTGTGCTATTGTGTGTAGTTTTTTCTTTGGCTTCTCTGGTAGACAAAGTGTCAAGAAGTGGTGACTTACATGAAAAGATCAGTCTCTTGAATGTAGTATACATCAATGCAATACTATTTTAGGAATTTCACAACTGCAGATTGGAGACTATTTTGTAGTATTCATCTTGGTAAATATTTTGTTGCCCTGGTGTGCATTACAAGAAGAGGGCTTAGAGTTGAAAACTTTCTACTGCTTTTTCTCCCTTTCTAGAAAATAACTTCCTGATTTCTCTAGAAGGAGAAAATCTGTTCTGATCTTGACCTTAAGGTTACTTACATTTGTATTATAAAGTTAAACTCAAAACAATAGCAAGCTGTTTGATTTCATGAGAACTGAAATCTATAGCTGTGCGGTTTCACTGCTCAATCTGTTTTAGTCTACTGGAAAAATACTTGTCAATTTTGTTTTCAAAGAGGCAAACTTGTCTGGTATGAGCTGGCTCTGGAGGAGCCTGAATTCTAAGTTTGCACAGAGGTACAAGAAATTTGACTTCATGACATCAGTTGCTTTGTACTTTTCCGAGGTGACTCTCTTTTACCCCCATTCTCCCTGCATTACCTTGGTAAGTACAGATTCTTCTTCTGAAGAGAAAAGCTATCAAAAATAAAAATAGATTTTAAAATGGAATATTTTTTTAAAATACCCTGCTGTATGGACTGGTATGTACCTCTGTAGTTGTGTGGTTTTTTTCTTATTTAATCTAATATAGAACTTTCATCAAAACTCAAAGGCAACAAGTTCATCTGAAATCTGTTTGTACAACAGTATCTTGTTATCCTCTTTTTCAAAATCCACAAACAATTGTCACAGAAACCGCGGTGACTCAGCTCTTGGGCAAATCCTCCTAATTGGTTACTTGCCCTTTTACTTGTCTTTTCTCTCTTGCACCACTTGATTTCTTCGCTAGCTGCAAACTGAGACCTCAAGTCTTGTGCAGCGCTGACTTTGTGGTTGTGTGCTTGCTGCTCAGTATAATGGGACTCCTTACCTTCCTCGCGCTGGGGCTTGTAGCTGCTGTTACACGTTGTCAGTTTGTAAACAGTGACCATTCAGAACCTGCAGCTACACAGGGTTTCGGTTTTGGTGTGACTAGTATGCGGCATGTCTTGTCCGAGCTTTTTCTTTTGCTCAGCTGCCGTTTGGAGGCAGTAAGTGGGATTATTTTCAGCCCAGTGTTCATTCTCTGAACTTCCCTAAACTGAAACTGCCCGTCTGTCGGTGTGTCAGTTTAATGACTAAAGAAAAGCAAAAAAGAGGAAGAGCAGAAATAAAGGCAAAACTGTATCCAGTGCGTAAATTAGTTGGAGATGCCTTCTAGGTTGTCAGGTGAAAGCTGACTTTTTTTTTTGCCGGCAGCCTTAGCCTCACTTCTCATTTTGCAGCCTAAGCATACCCCAGCTGGCAGCCAGCAAAGAGGAGTGGAGTTCACAGCCAAAATGTTTTAACTGGAAAACCCCTCAGTCTGTATTTTTCCTCTCCAGCAAGCTGCCACTTACAACAACAAAAAAATAAAAACTGAAACAAACCCAGATTGTTTCTTTTCCATTTTTCTCACGTCCACATCAGCTGAAGCAATTCTAAAAGACCTTAGCAAAAAAGCTGTAGCCCAGATACTGCAGTTTTAACTCTTTCTAGGGCACAAGACAGAAAACTTGATCTCTTACTTACCAGTGTGGGATCTCTCGGTATCCTGCCTGAATGTGCTGAGATTGAAATGTGCTGCTGCAAGGAGCTTCTGCCTTGAATGAGGAAGTGCTGAAGCGGGGCAGGATGTGGAGCAATGACTCAGATATCAAAGGCTGGGTTTCTTGATTAGCTGGAGAATAAAAGGAATTATTGACAGTGCTCACTGTAGTGTGCTCAGCTGACGTAAGGACTTGCTAGCTGCTACTTTACCAATAGTAAAAGCTTGGATGTTTCACTGTTTTTTCATCCTTTCATGAGCTTTAGATACTTAGAATAATGCAATATTCTGGTATTGCAGTGCTTTTGAGGAGGACTTTCTATCTTTTGTCTAATAAAACATATGTCCCTGTCAAGAAGCATTTCTTTGCATGAATATGCCACTTGAAGATGTTCAGAGTAAGGATTTGCCTAATGCTTCTAAAACAACTCTTGCCTCTTAGCTCAACCAGGGACTTCAAACTTTGCTTGGTTCTTTCCTTTAGGAAAATATAATAATTAAAAAACAAAACCAAAAACAAACAATCAAAACCACCAAAACAAACCCCAACATATCTGCTCTGAAATTAGTTTTAACTTACATTCATATATTTAGTGTTCTATTCACCTGAACACAGAGGCTACTGCTTGCAGTTTCTAAGCATAACTTTCCAAAATCAGCATTATCAACAGAGCTCTGTCTCTTGTTTGCTCTGCAATCAAGCACTGCTGTTTCAGTGGCTCTCTGGTTTTGATGTGTGGGAACTGAGCAATGTTTACCTCTTATGTTTTCAGCCAACCATGGTGGAAGCTTTTCTTTTTCTCCTTGCTTGCATCTTGCTGAGATGTCGTCTTGGGTGTGGGTGCCTGGCATGCTCTGCTATGTCACTTCATAAAGGAATTTAAGCTTTCTTTCTATGGGTATTTGCTAGCATGGCCATTGCTTCACTGAAGTTTTGTTGCACATAATTGAATAATTGTGTAGCTCAGCAATTTCACATCAGAAATGGAAAAGTATATTAAGTGGATTCTGTTCAACTCTTGTCTTTAAGCTACCAGTTTGAGTAGTCTTTCTTGTGTTGAATTGAATCCTTCTGGTATCTCCCTTTATTTTAAGAAGTGTGTTTGTATGTACACACCTATGATGTACTGTTAGTGTTGAACTTTTCATTCTATAAACATGCTGTAAAAGGGATAACGATTGTTTCAAAGTAATTAGGATTCCAAACACTGTTGTCATTCATCTCAACCTCTCCTCCGCTTGGGTTAAGCAGAGAGATAGCTATTTAATCATGCTAGATGAAGTTAAATATTGGTATTTAACACTTGTGTACAAAAATTGCTTAGAGTAAGTCTGAATTTTTTAGAATTAAGCCAGAAGTTGATTTCCTAGAGTTTCTTTAATTATTTGTTTCATTATGCTAGAAAACAAACACCACCACCACCCCCGTCTTAATGGTTTGAGAAGTAACACTTGACAAATTAGTCAGCTTCATGGGAGTATTTCAGCAATATACAGCTGCTCACTCAAACGATGCAGTAATGCAATTGCTCAGTCTCTCCTGTGACGGTGATGATCCTGAGTGTTTTCTGAGGCACTTCACTTCTGCAAAGCTTTGAATGCCTGATGCAATTCACATTAGGTGGGTGCTAAGGCAGCACTGAAGAAAACAATTCTGAGTTCAGAGAAGTTATTCTCTGTCTAGCACTGAAGCACAAAAGTGGAAGGTTTTCAAGAGTGAAATTCCTGATGAAGTACAAAAACCACCTATGGCTGCATTAATGTAATGAGAAAAATGTATTGGGTTTTTTTCCCCATGCTCTTCTGAAAACTCCTTTCTTGATAGGATGCTGCTGAGAAGGGAATGATCATCTCCCTCCATCTGCTGGGGTTAGTTTGCCTAATGAAGCCCAGGACAGAATTAGTTGTCTTTGCCCCAAGGGCACATTTCTGGCTTATATTCAAATTGTTGCACACCAGAGCACCCCCAGGGTCCTTTCCACAAAGCTGCTTCCAAGCTGTGTGACCCCCGGCATGTATTGGTGTGTGGGGCTGTTCCTCCCCAGCTGCAGGACTTTGTGCTTCCCCTTGTTGAACTTCATGAGGTTCCTGGTAGCCCACTTTTCCATCCTGTTGAAGTCCATCTGGATGGCAGCACAACCCTCTGGCTTATCAGCCACTCCTCCCAGTTTTGCATCATCAGCAGACTTGCTGAGGGTACACTCTGTCCCATCATCCAGATCATTATTGAAGGTCCTGAACAGAACAGGACCCAGTATTGACCCCCACTACTAGTTATTGGTCTCTAACTAAATTGTGTTACTGATGACCACACTCTGGGCTAGGCCGTTCAGCCAGATTGCAATCCACCTCGCTGTCTGCTCATCCAGCCCGTACTTCATCAGCTTGTCTATGAGGACTGTATGGGGGACAGTGTCAAAAGTCTATGTAGACAATATCCACTGCTCTCCCTTTGCCTACCATGCCAGTCATTTCATCACAGAAGTTTATCAAGTTGGTGAATCCATGCTGATTATTCCTGATGACTTTCCTGTCCTTCGTGTGCCTGGAAATGGTTTCCAGGTTTAGTTGCTCTATACCTTTCCCAGTTATCCAGATGAGGCTGAGTGGCCTGTAGTTGGATCCTCTGGATCCTCTTTCTTGCTTTTCTTGAAGGTAGGAGTGGCATTTACTCTCCTTCAGTCCTCTGGCACTTCTCACAGTTGCCATGATCATTCTGAGAGTGGCCTCGCAATGACATCTGCCAGCTCCCTCTGCACTCATGGGTGCATCCTGCCAAGGCTCTTAGACTTATGTTTGTTCAGTTTGCTTAAGTACTGTCTCACCTGATTCTCTTCCATTAAGAGTATATCTTCCTTGCTCCAGACTTTCCCCCATCTCTGGAACTTGGGATTCTTGAAGGCTGGTCTTGCTATTAGAGAAAGGTAAAGAAGGCATTCAGTGTGTCAGCCTCTTCCGTGTCCTGTGTAACCAGGTCACCCATCTCCTTCAGCAGCGGGACCACATTTTCCCTAGTCTTCCCTTCCTTTTGTCTCCTATGTACATATAGAAGTCTTTCTTGTTGTCTTTGACATTCCTGACTGGATCCAATTCCAAGTGGACTGTGACTTTCTTAGTCATGTTTCTGTGTGCTCAGACGCAGACGGTGTCTCTTTATTCTTTCTAGATTACCCACCCTTGCTTCCACCCTCTATATGGTTCTTTTTTGTGTCTGAGTTTTGCCAGGAGCTCTTTGTTCATCCATACAGGCTTCTTGGCTTTTTGTTTTTCTTCTTACATTGGTTAGTGTGGACTGAACACAGAACATAAATATGTTGAGACAAGCTACCAAGCTGACATCAAATCCTTGGGCTGGTTCATGTACTGCAGGCCATTGCCTAATGCCTTGCTGGTTTTCAGTCCCTGGGGTTGCTCACTTCAGTGTTTGGAGGCATTCAAATAATCAGTAGTTTTTTCATGCTGCTTTTAGGCTGTATAAATGTGCTTTCTTTTCTTTCTTCTTCTCTCTCCCCTCCCCTCCCACCAATGCTGTATCATGCATATTTGCTCAAAGGCTTCCAAAAGAAGCAAAATGCGGTCATCTTTTCCATGGAATACAGCAGTCCACTTCAGCCAACTTCCTAGCTTTGTTACAAAACACAGTTCCCTAGATGTCTGCTAATTCAAACATTACGAATTGAATGCTTTCCAAATTCAAAGCCAGACTGTTTTAACTACATAAAGGTGAATGGATGGAAGAAGAGAGGGTTTATATACTTTAACCCCCAGTATCTGGGATATAAACTTGGATTCAACTAAGTACTGCCATAGACTGGATAAGGGACCTGTGTAATTTCCTTTGGTGCTATGTTAGCATGTTGTAACATTGTGGTGTTCCTTTCGTAGTTGTATTTCTTCCTCTGCTTGCACTTGTAATCAGAATGGCTTCTGACCCAGCTAGCAGACCACTCCAAAAAGTAAGTCACGCAAATCATTAAAACTGTATGACATTACTTGGTGTTATCAATAAATGGGAGTTTTTTCTCTTCCCCTGCATTTCCCTTCTGTTATCAGATGAACCAGATAATCCAAACAGCCTTGATCAGGGTCACTTCAGAAGGAAAGTGCAAATTCCACTTCATTTGTTTTTCTGAGCAGAAGACAGTGAGGTGTTTTTTTTTTTTTTTTTTTTTAAGGCAGTATAGACCAGCAGTAGCTGTAGCTTGCCATGCTCATCTTCATTTTGCTAAACCTCAGGCTGGTGAGCACTTGAGATCTGTGTACTTTAGTTGCCATTTGGGATTTGGCTGTAGACTAAGACTTTCCAGTCTGTGAGAAGCATTCCAGGTTGTGACTGGTTTTGCTTGTTTCCGCTCATTTGAGGTAACATGGTCCATTCATATTACGTGGCTACGACTATTATCCCAGAATAAGAGCAGACACAGAGATATGAAGAAATAATGAGTGCTCATGCTGGCTTTCAAAGCATTTGAGCAACAGCTTTCATCCTTTCATGGCGCAACTAGAGTAGCAAAAATTGAAGAAGTATGTTCATTTGCAAAAGAAGAGGGAACAGTCAGTAATGTTGCTGTCCAAGATGAGAAATGTTTTTTTTAAATTCTGGCAATAGGAGATATTTGGCAAGAAATATGCATACATGGCTGAGGCCTAATGACCTGAATGTGCAAGCAGAAATGGGAACAAAAATGTAGCTTGACTGTGAGAAAGGAATGAGAGCAAAGCTGATCTTTTGCTACTTCTGTCACTTGTCTCTTAAGTGACAAATATTCCAGGCTGGTCTACTAGCTGCTTGTTCCTCTCTGAAGTCGCTTTTACCCCCTTTTACCCTGAATTAGGTGGCTGCCTGAGTGCTCAGGATCTCAGGCACTCAGGAGGGGGGAGTCGTGCTTTTTCATACCTTTTGAACACTGACAGGCTTTTGGGCCATTACCCACCTCTCCAGGGAGCTCGTTCCAGTGTTTGACCACCCCCTTTGGTAATGAAATGTTTCCTTGTGTTAAGTCTGAACCTCCCCTAGAATTGGAATATCTCAAGTCACAAGGGACCCATAAGGGTTGAGTCAAACTCCCTGCTCCTTGCAGGACTACCTAAAAGTAAACCATGTG